ACACACACACACACACACTCTGTTACAAAGACACACACACACATACACACACACACACTCTGATACACAGACACACACACACACACACACACTCTGATACACAGACACAGACACTCCGATACACAGACACACACACACACACTTAGAGCAGCAAGGGGGGTTCAGGGTCACAGGCCTATAACCCCCGACCCCTTAAAAAAAAAAAAAAAAAAGACGTTCGCGTCTGCGCGAACACGTTCGGCCGAACGTGTTCGCGTTCGCCTGCGAACGCGAACAGCGTGCAACGCAGCGTATAATCATCGAACTTTTCGATTTGGAATGTCGGCATCTTGTAGTGCTGCGCACTGGTGTTGCCCTCCTTGTTGGGCCGCTGGTGCAGTTGCTGAAGCTCGATCTTCAAGGTGTCCAGCTGCATGCTGGTGGTGGCTGGTGCAGCGAAGGTGCTGATGTCGCCGAGCATTGCAACTACGTGGTCAACTCGTTCCTCCAATTGGCGGGTAGAGGGTGCACTGCTGGACTCGCCAGCATCTGGTCTTGGTGCAACTTGCTCCAAGTCCTGTACACGGGAATCAAGTGCCCATGTGGCATCCTCGTGCAGATCCTTGTGGTTCCGCACCGCCCGTCGAAGATTCGCCAGCTCGGACTGCAGGTGGTTACAAGTGTAATCCAACCGGGTCACGAGTTTGGCAAGGAACTCCTTGTGCTGCTCTTCCGTCGTGTCTTCGCGGTGCTCGGATGGTTCAAAATGCCAGAATTTGAGCTTTTCAATGCTGGTGGCTTCATGCCGCTGTAGCAGATCCTGAGCCTCCTTGCGGCGTGCCTGGGTATCTGCGTCTGCTTCGGCCTAAAGCCGCTGCTTTTCAGCTGCTACCGGCGCTTCAGCTTGTAGGCGAGCAGCCTCGGCTGCCACCTGGCGCTGCTCCTTAGCCTCGATCAGTGCGAGCTGAGCTTCGAACCGCCGTCGGTACTTGGCAGCGGACTCATTGGCCAGTTGGCCTGGCATGGCCAGAACTGAGACCGTCATGGTGGTGGGGCACTGCTGACGTGGCTCTGTTGCTGACGTGGCACTGCTAACATGGCACTGCTGACATGGCACTGTTGCTGACGTGGCACTGTTGACGTGGCACTGCTGACGTGGCACTGTTGCTGACGTGGCACTGTACCAAACCGGGGATGCAAAAACGCAGGTAGGTAACCAACCAAGCTATACTTTCCACCCGGTCCTAATCGACAGAATAAAAAAAATAAACAATAAAAAAATAAATAAAAGAAGAGGATCACCCCTCTTTTTTTTGTTTGTATATCTGTCGATCTATTATGAGTGAGGCATGTCAGAAGAGTACTATGAGCGAGATCTAGGCCAGGTTCCGCAAAGTTTCGGCTTTCACAAAAATGCAATCTTGAATTTTTTTTTGCGAAATAGAGTAGAGATGGGATTTTTTGAAAAGAACTAAATCCAGTTTCTGAGAATATGACAACCTCCTAATATGCCTAAAAACGAAATGCTGATAGGCTTCGCAAGATTTCGATTTTCAAAAAAAAAAATTGCGAGATAGCATGGAGATTCGATTTTCAGACCAGAATAAACCTGGTTTCCGAGAATATGACCACCTCTATCGTTGTCCTAATATGCCTAGAAAACGAAATGCTAACATCAGAAAATTTCAGCTATGTATGCGAATATCAGAAATTTCGGATGCTAATATCCGAGAAACGAAATGCTACTTTGAACTTTCAAAAATTTCAGATATTCGCTGCGTGAAAACGAAATGCAAATATCAGAAATTTTCAGATAAAACGAAATGCTAATATCAGAAATTTTCAGATAAAACGAAATGCTATTATCCGCAATTTTCAGATAAAACGAAATGCTAATATCAGAAATTTTCAGATAAAACGAAATGCTATTATCTGGAATTTTCAGATATTTGTTGCGAGAAACAAAAAAAAAATTCAGAGATTTGACAAAGTCCTACTTGATTTACTAATAAACAATCAATAGATCAAGCAAGTTGGCTACTTGATTAAGCGGGTCCTCTGATTGAGAGGTCCACTCCGATACCAAACTGTTGCATACCGTAACGGTGCAGACCAGAACAAGAATCGACCTCTCTCACAAAGTACAAGATAGCGTAGCGGAAGACTTAGATGGCAATGATCTGAACAATCAATGTTGCAATGCAGCCCCAAACATACATCATCATCATCATTCCATGATGTGAAGGGGCCTGGCGCTCACACAGGAAGAATGTATCAGTCCCCAATCATACACAGACGAAGAAGAGGGGGGTTAGACAAAGAAGAGGGAAAGATGGGAATGTCGTCAACACCAAGTCTTCGGCACATGCCCAAATAGTCCCTCGTCAAATGTCTGAATCCCAATGTCGAGTCTGGATCCAATGTCGTCAAGTCCCATAGTCAGAACTTTCTCTCTCTCTCTCTCTCTCTCTCTCTCTCTCTCTCTCTCTCTCTCTCTCTCTCTCTCTCTCTCTCTCTCTC